AAAGAAACAGACGATCTCCACGCTGTAGCAGCATCCTCGAGTGATGGAGGAATTGTAGCAGCGCTCCCGCCGAAGCGTCCCAAGAGAGTTCGGAAGAACAAGGCGACACAAGAGATGGCATCGACGGGAACTGGGCAGCAGCCATAGACGGCTTACAAGATAACCAAGGATGTCTATGACCTTCGTTAGAAGTACGGATACTACCTTTGGTGCAACGGCGTCACTCATGTGACCGCACAATGCCACGAAAAGGGCAAGGCACGCGTACCCCGTCCAGCAAACTCGGGAAACTGAGTTACGCAAGGAGAGGGGCGACGTCTCTCCTCACTCCGTTGGAACCGGTTGCCTTGCTAGCAATCGATGTCACTACCGGGGAGCATGCGTTAGTCGCTGATTCTCGTGCCACGTACGAGGATTATGCCGCCCAGCTGGTACCACCACTAGACCAGCCAAGCCACGTGCACTTGGATTGCGTATGCGCAGCCTGTACACCGTCGGCAAGTGATCCGGTCAGTTCGCCACTAATTTCCGAGGACTCGACGGCGTGGTCAAGACTTGAGGAACTTGACCCGCTCACGAGAGAGGACTGCGCTTGGATGCCTCTACCCTCGACCGGAACCTTGCCAAGGCCGCATTGCAACGCCTTGATGGCAACTCTACGCTCCTATTTGCACACTACAGTACCAGCTCCGTTGACGGACGACGGGGTAGCCGTTGTCGATCTCCGCTCCTATCTTGCGAAGATTGACCGCGAGTACTCCACCCAAAGGTACGCCGCAACCGACGCGCCTTTGCTCAATATCCGCATTCAGATCGGAAAGGCAACCTGTAGTGCCTTGATTGATTGCGGAGCGTCTCACAACTTTATGAGCCAAGCCTTTATGGCCCGTGCAGGTCTTGGCCCGCGTGTTCGAAGGAAGATGCAACCTACGCAAGTTACACTCGCGGACGGCCGCACGCAAAAGTCAATTGACCGATGCATCGACGACGTTCCGGTATACTTTGCGCCACTTGCGTGCGAGCCGGTGTCTTTTGACATCCTCGACACCAAGTTCGACATGATTCTAGGCATGTCTTGGTTGCGTAGCGCCGATCATCCGGTGAACTTCCATGACCGAACCGTTCACAYCCGTGATCGGAACGGAGTGTTAGTCCCATGTACGGTCGCGACCCCTCACACTTCGATTGCTTGTCACGTGGTTTCCGTTGCGAGAGTTCGCGACGCCATTGCTCGGAATGACATCGAGGAGATGGGCCTTGTATTCTTGCATGCTCTCCCCTCGCCGGACGGACCAGCCGCGTCACCGCCTGACCCACTCATCACTCACCTCTTGGACGAGTATGGAGACGTCTTCGAGGCGCCCACCGGAACGGTTCCGGATCGGCCCATACGTCACGGGATCACTCTCGAGGCGGGCGCCGTCCCTCCGCGTGGATGTATCTACCGCATGAGCGAAGAGGAACTCGAGGTGCTTCGCGCATAACTCGATGACCTTCTCGACAAGGACTGGATTTTCCCTAGTTGCTCGCCATACGGTGCACCTGTTCTCTTCGTCCGGAAGAAGAACAAAGATTTACAATTATGCATCGACTATCGGAAACTTAACGCACAAACCGTAAAGAACGCCGGCCCTCTCCCTCGGATTGATGATCTCCTTGAGCGGTTAGGCGGCGCGACGTACTTCTTGAAGTTGGACTTGAAGTCAGGTTACCACGAGATTGAAATTCAGCCTCAAGATCGGTACAAGACCGCGTTCAAGACGCGGTACGGGCATTTTGAGTGGGTTGTCATGCCCCTTGGCCTCACCAATGCCCCCACAACTTTTCAAGCAGCTATGACGACTGAGTTTCGCGACTTGCTCGATCGCAGCGTCCTCATCTACCTCGATGACATCTTGGTCTATAGCAGGACGTTGGACGAGCACATCACACACCTTCGCGCTGTTTTGAATCGTTTGCGACTGGCCAAGTACAAAGCGAACCGCGACAAGTGCGAGTTCGCCAAGCAAGAGCTTGAGTTTTTGGGCCACTATGTTACGCTGAAAGGCATTCGTCCCTTAGCGGACAAGATCCAAACCATCGTGGATTGGCCGGAACCCTGTTGTACGACGGACGTACGCTCTTTCATGGGATTGGCTGGATATTATCAGCGATTCGTCGAGTCATACTCGAAAGTGGCAGCTCCTTTGTCGAGANTACCGGGGAGCATGCGTTAGTCGCTGATTCTCGTGCCACGTACGAGGATTATGCCGCCCAGCTGGTACCACCACTAGACCAGCCAAGCCACGTGCACTTAGATTGCGTATGCGCAGCCTGTACACCGTCGGCAAGTGATCCGGTCAGTTCGCCACTGATTTCCGAGGACTCGACGGCGTGGTCAAGACTTGAGGAACTTGCCCGCTCACGAGAGAGGACTTCGCTTGGATGCCTCTACCCTCGACCGGAACCTTGCCAAGGCCGCATTGCAACGCCTTGATGGCAACTCTACACTCCTATTTGCACACTACAGTACCAGCTCCGTTGACGGACGACGGGGTAGCGGTTGTCGATCTCCGCTCCTATCTTGCGAAGATTGACCGCGAGTACGCCACCCAAAGGTACGCCGAAACCGACGCGCCCTTGCTCAATATCCGCATTCAGATCGGAAAGGCAACCTGTAGTGCCTTGATTGATTGCGGAGCGTCTCGCAACTTTATGAGCCAAGCCTTTATGGCCCGTGCACGTCTTGGCCCGCGCGTTCGAAGGAAGATGCAACCTACGCAAGTTACACTCGCGGACGGCCGCACGCCTTGGTTGCGTAGCGCCGATCATCCGGTGAACTTCCATGACCGAACCGTTCACATCCGTGATCTGAACAGAGTGTTAGTCCCATGTACGGTCGCGACCCCTCACACTTCGATTGCTTGTCACGTGGTTTCCATTGCGAGAATTCGCGACGCCATTGCTCGGAATGACATCGAGGAGATGGGCCTTGTATTCTTGCATGCTCTCCCCTCGCCGGACGGACCAGCCGCGTCACCGCCAGACCCACGCATCACTCACCTCTTGGACGAGTATGGAGACGTCTTCGAGGCGCCCACCGGAACGGTTCCGGATCGGCCCATACGCCACGGGATCACTCTCGAGGCGGGCGCCGTCCCTCCGTGTGGATGTATCTACCGCATGAGCGAAGAGGAACTCGAGGTGCTTCGCGCATAACTCGATGACCTTCTCGACAAGGGCTGGATTTGCCTTAGTTGCTCGCCATACGGTGCACCTGTTCTCTTCGTCCGGAAGAAGAACAAAGATTTACGGTTATGCATCGACTATCGGAAGCTTAACGCACAAACCGTAAAGAACGCCGGCCCTCTCCCTCGGATTGATGATCTCCTTGAGCGGTTAGGCGGCGCGACGTACTTCTTGAAGTTGGACTTGAAGTCAAGTTACCACGAGATTGAAATCCAGCCTCAAGATCGGTACAAGACCGCGTTCAAGACGCGGTACGGGCATTTTGAGGGGGTTGTCATGCCCTTTGGCCTCACCAATGCCCCCGCAACTTTTCAAGCAGCTATGACGACTGAGTTTCGCGACTTGCTCGATCGCAGCGTCCTCATCTACCTCGATGACATCTTGGTCTATAGCAGGACGTTGGACGAGCACATCACACACCTTCGCGCTGTTTTGAATCGTTTGCGACTGGCCAAGTACAAAGCGAACCGCGACAAGTGCGAGTTCGCCAAGCAAGAGCTTGAGTTCTTGGGCCACTATGTTACGCTGAAAGGCATTCGTCCCTTAGCGGACAAGATCCAAGCCATTGTGGATTGGCTGGAACCCCGTTGTACGACGGACGTACGCTCTTTCATGGGATTGGTTAGATATTATCAGCGATTCGTCGAGTCATACTCGAAAGTGGCAGCTCCTTTGTCGAGGCTTCAGTCCCCGAAGGTGCCCTTCGAGTTCGACGACGCAGCCCGTGGCGCGTTCACTACGTTGAAGGCAGCGATGCAAGCCGCACCTGCCCTCCGTATATTTGACCCCACCCTTCCAACCCAAGTGACTACGRACGCTTCGGGATACGGCATTGGTGCGGTGTTGGAACAGTGCCACGAGGACGGTTGGCATCCGGTCGAGTATTTCTCCCAAAAGGTGCCTCTCGTCAACACTCTCGACGATGCTAGGAAGAAAGAGCTACTCGCGTTCGTCACCGTTCTCAAACGGTGGCGCCACTTTCTTCTCAGTCGTCGGCGTTTTAAATGGAATACGGACAACAATCCGTTGACCTTTTACAAAACGCACGACACAGTCACTAGCACGATCGGTCGATGGATGTATTACATCGACCAGTTCCATTTTGACCCGTGCCACATTCCCGATCCCGCCAATCGAGCGGCGGACGCCCTCTCACGACGGCCCGACTTTTGTGCCATTGTGACCACGACATTCGACCTCGATGACGATCTGCAGCCGCATTTCGTCAAAGGATACAAGTCCGATCCGACTTACTCTACGCTATATGCAGAGCTCTCATCGGATCACCCGCCGGCTAGCCACTATCGGATTTCCGACGGGTTCCTTCTCCTTCACACGAGAGGAAAGGACTTGTTAGTTGTGCCCCAAGATCGCATCTTACGGACTCGTCTTCTCGGCGAATTCCACGACGCACGACTWTCGGCACACCTTGGCATGAACCGCACATTAGCACGCCTCCGCCAGCGTTTTCACTGGCCTGACGTCCTTCACGACGTCATGAGGTACATTGAGTCATGTGCAGTTTGCCACCGTAACAAGGGTCGATCTTGAGTCCCCTTTGGCGAACTGAAACCGTTGCCGATTCCTCGGGCACCGCGCCTCTCCATTGCTATGGATGTGACAGGCCCGTTCCCCCGCGATCACCACGGCCATGACGGTATTCTCACGGTCGTTGACCGTTTGAGCAAGTATGCTCACTTCCTTCCTTGCAAGTATCATGCTGCAGCACCTGAGCTCGCACGACTCTTGCACACCGGTTGGATTACCAACCAGGGTGTTCCGGAAGACATAGTGAGCGACCGAGATACTCGCTTCATGTCAGCATTTTGGACTTCCCTCATGGCTG